GTGTGTGTGTGTGTGTGTCAACCCCTGTACCTAAGGGTTTCCACCTTTCGTTCAGGTTTATGATTTCTTTTTCAGCAGGGGGCCAGCGCATGACATCACGACGCTGGCCAACGAAGCTAGTGATGTCATGGGATGCGGTCAGAGACGTCTGACCGTGTACCTGCCAAGAAACGGTTGCTCACGCTGTCCATTTTTCCTTTTTTGATTCCATGGTGGTTCATGATACTTCCCACAAACCCTCTCCACTGCCGCTTTGCAGCCGCGCTGAGTGTCCGATCGTTTTCGAGTGCATTTGAAAACAAGGTTAAACCATACTGTTCCAGCTGACCTTTTTCACCTTGCGGTTCTCCACCTTCCTTCCACCTGGGAACTGAGTTAACTGAAAACCAATGTCAGAGTGTGTTACACTGTGCGATGGTCCTTACTAGTATGCCACATGCGTCGCCTGGTAAAAAGAGACAACAAACCAATTCACCTCAGCGGATGGAGGCTGCGCATATGCATGCATCCAGCGCAGCTTGGCCTCGAGATGTGCAAATGCTGGTGTTGCAGTTTGTTCAAATGGCCATGCGCAACAGAGTTAACCATCCAGAGAGGTCGCGACCCTGGTCACTTTTGACCGTTCCAAGTGAACAGGACTTTGCGGTGTTTTTAGTCCAATCCATGGAGTGTCCACTCTGCCAATGATGTTCGCCGAATCATGTCGCTTGTGTTTCTGCAAGTCTCCTCCTTCAGTATTTTGGAAGCGAAAATGACGTTATATAAGGCTAAGGTCTTGGTCTTCACTACTACCCCTTACTAATGGAACCCCCTTATCAAACAAAACCAAAAGCACTCACTTGTGCGTTTGAACAAAAGAGCAGGTGCCAAAAGAGGTTCCAAAGCAGGTTCCGGAGCAAGCTTCGCAGCAATTTTGTAGATATGCCGACATGCTGTTGTGCTGACACGGGGCCATGTTGCCATGCTGACGTTGTCATGGTGAAATGGAGCCACGTCATCATGCTAGCATGTTGTCATGCTGACCCGTACTCATGCTGTCGGGCTACCGTAGGATGTCTGGTAGCATGTTACCCCTCTCTCGCACTAACTTGCCATGATGTTGTTATGTTAATATGCTGTGTTTGCTGACATGCTAGCAGCTAGCACGTTGTGCCAGTGACATTCTGAGGTGATGCTACACTGATATGCTGACAGGGTTTCATGTTGGTGTGTTATACAAATGCTTTCATTTAAACGCGTAGACATGTTAAAATGCTGTCACGGTGATATGCAGGCATGGCGTCACACCAGCATCTTGTCAGGCTGTCAGGCTGACATGTTGCCATGCTGACAGGCTGACACCGATGATACTAACTTGCTAACACGTTTTAAGCTGAGGTGCTGTCGTTGGGTCATGCTGTCGTGCTGAGATGCTGGTAGTTCAAGTTCCAGAGCAGGTTCCCAGGATCTTCTTTGGTGCGATGTTGGGATGCTTGCACACATGTGTCGGCGTGTAGCACGTGCAGTGTTGTGATGCTGGCCTGACACATTGAAAGGGCTCACATCTTTTTTGAAAACAGCCTTGGGTGTGTTCCCTGCCTCAGAGTTGCGATGGCTCCGTCTGGAGAACAACAAGGGCCCCTGCAAACAACATGTCAAGCAGCACGGAGAATTCACAGCAGGAAGCATAAGCAAACAGGAACTCCAGAATGATTGAAAATGATTGCACATGTCCAACCCCTTCAAGAATTTTATAAATAACAGAATCATCTATCTTGAACAACAGACCTGGACCATGATACAGTAGTAAGTGTCTTGGCTATTCTTGATTAGCTGTATACGTATTTGACAGGAGTTCCTGGTCCTAGACAGTGCTTACGCGAAAAACCGTGGTGGTTTCATTAAAATCACTGACTTAATCCATCAAACAAATGGCAAAGAATTGCAGAAATAAAACAATCTTTCACCCAGAACTTGCTGCCTGGGTGAGGTTGACGCCTGGTGGATCACGAAAGACCCACACCTGGGGCATCTGTCGGTCGAAGGTGCGAATTTGGCAGGTTACAAGCGAATTCGGAAGGCCCATGAAGAGTATACATCAAACGCCGCAAATTGGCCCAGGTCTGTTCTCACACTCTGCCACATGCTCTCTAGAGAGTGAAATGAAGATCTAAAGATCTGCGTTGTTGCTCCACTTCTTGGTTGTGATGACTGGTCAAAGAAAAGCTTTCACCCCTGGTTCCAGTGTCGAGTTCCACTGCAAGCCAAAGGACTGGGCCTTCACGATGGGTGCAAAGGTATCGATATGAAATTGCTGCTGTGGGTCAGGAGTGTCCTGGCCAGGCTTCAAGTCAACGCGCTGATAACAAGTGACTCTACCAGTGACACGTGTTGTTATTGTTGTTGTTGTTGCTGCTGCTACTGCTGCTGCCTGATCAAAAAACTTGCGCGATGATGTAATGTACGAGAGAACTTGAAAGAGTGCTAAGGATTTAAAATAATGCATCTCACTTGATTAGATGTTGCAAGGAATACAAGAGTATCCACTGCTCTTCACCAATCCACAATACAATCCAATCCCGCCTGCCTGTACTGTGACATTCCTGCCGGAACAAAAGGGCGCAAGCCAGGCTTCCAAGTTGCAATCACTCGATCATCTACAGCGTATCAGGGTGTCAGTGCCTGGAGAATGAACATGGATAGATACAATGCTTCAATTCTACGAAGGTGGTTTACAGCAATGGACTGGGCTTGGCAAGGTGCGTGGGAGCATCAAAAACAAATGGCAACATCAGATGAGGGCGGTCAAGGTCAACAAAAGGACACTCCTTGCCTTTGCTAGCGGCATCATGGAGGAGTTCGTTGTTTTGAGCATCGTTGTTAGCTTTGAGGTGCCGCAAAGCTCTTCGGAGGTGACTATTGAGCTTGGAATACGTTCTAACTGAATTCTATCTACAGTAAAGTTACGTTTGGATGAGAGTGGGCGTGGGTGGGTTTGAGGGGAGGCAGAACGAGTGGACGCAATAGCACGAAATGATGTTGTGCCTGCATTCAAAGAATACATGGAACTCATCTCCATAAACACACCGAGCGTGGTTTGAAACTGGAGCGGCAGACCTTCAAGAGCCAACGAACGCCATGGAGTCCTAAAAGGCCTAAGTACCTGTATCTTTGGATGCTTATAGTATCTGCAAGGACGCTACTAGGGGCTCCTGGCCTTACTACGGCTCCTGGCCTTACTACTAGGGCAAGGACGCTCCTACTAGGAGCAAGGACGCTACTAGGGGCTCCTGGCCTTACTACTAGGAGCAAGGACGCTACTAGGGGCTCCTGGCCTTACCACTAGGAGCAAGGACGGTACTAGGGGCTCCTGGCCGTACTACTAGGAGCAAGGACGCTACTAGGGGCTCCTGGCCTTACTACTAGGAGCAAGGACGCTACTAGCACCTCCGGACCTTACTACTGGGAGCAAGGACGCTACTAGGGGCTCCTGGCCTTACTACCGGGAGCAAGGACTACTAGGGGCTCCTGGCATCGCTACTTGGAGCAAGGACGCTACTAGGCTCCTGGCCTTACTACTAGGAGCAAGGACGCTACTACGGGCTCCT